ACGACGACGACGCTGCTGCTGCTGCTGCTGCTGCTGAAGGTGATGGAGGTGATTGTGGTCCACCTGTGGCCCACCGCCGGCGACCTGGACCACGCCCTGGGCGACTTCTAGGTTTTTTTCGTAATTCGAGGGCCTGGGTTTCAATCCCAGGTCTCTCTTAGTCTGAAACCCAGGTCTGATGCTCGATGCCCAGGTCTCTAGTCTCTGGGTCTCTGATGCCTGACCTTCACTACGGAGGAATCCTCGCAGCTCCTCGCGTTCCTCGAGACGCTTGACGCGCCGGCGGGCTGGGTTCTGCACCTGGACCTCCACGAGACGACGGACACCGACGAGAGCGAGTTCATGCCCGCGCGCGCCGCGGAGAAGGGCGAGCAGTACACGCCGTGCGAGATTCCGGACGGGTTCTATTGCGTCGGCGACTCCCGCAACCCGCAGCTCGCGTTCCACCGCGCGATCATCGACGCCGTGCGAGTCGAGACGCACATCGCGCCCGCCGTCGACGGCGTCATCATCGACGAGCCCGTGGTGCAAGAAGGTCTCATCGTCGTGCCCGCCGCCGAGCTCGGACTCTGCTGCTCGCTGACGAAGGCGCCGTTCGTGACGACGACGGAGGTCTACCCGGACAGCCCGAAGACGACGCCCGACGCGTGCAACCGCGCGCAGCGCGCGGCCGTCTGCGGCGCCCTGGACTACGTCCTGGCCCACGCCGCCTGATGCTCGCGCGCGGCGCCCGAGGCGGCCGCCCGCTCAGGCGGATCATCGAATTAGTCGCAGACGAGGCGGACGCCCGTCGCGTTCTCGGCGACGCGGACGCGCGAGAAGAAGAGCGCCTCGGCGTAGGCGTAGTAGTCGGCGTCGTCGCCGGCCTTGAGCGCGTCGAGCGCGGCGAGCGCGGCGTCGGACGCGTTCTTCGCGTCCGGCGCGGACGCGTAGGTCCGCGCGTCGCTTCCGAAGACGCGGCCCGTCCCGCAGTCGCAGTCCTTCTTCGCGAGCTTGCCCCGGAACTGGAACTGGAAGAGGCACTCGGAGAGCGCGAAGTGGTCCGTGAGGCCGAAGACCGCGCCGTCGAGGTGCGCGCGCGCCTCCGCGAGCGAGCCCGCGGGCTCCGGCGCGCCGACGGCGGGGTAGTCGCCCTCCGCGGAGAGCAGGAGCGCCTGCGTCGGCCGCCGGATGCCGTAGAGGAGGTAGTGGGCGTCGGCGTAGAGGTCGCAGGAGTCCGCGCCGAGGCAGCCCGCGGCGAAGAGCGCGTCGAGGTCGCCGTGGCGGCCGCGCTCCGCGCCGTGCGCGACGACGCTGCGGCGCCAGGCCGTCGGCTCGCGGACCATGGTCACGACGGCGGGCGTCGCGTCGCCGAAGGCGCGGACGCTCCGGAAGGACGTCTCGTAGGTCGTCAGGCAGGGCTTCTTCCGCAGGTCCCGCGCCCGCCCCGCGACCGCGGCCTCGAAGCGCGCCGCGTCGCCAAAGTCCGGCGGCCCCTTCGGCGACCGCGTCGAGGTCTTGGCGTCGAAGCCCAGGGACGACCGGTAGTGGCCGAAGCGCATGGGCGCCCAGTCGCAGAGGTGCTGGCCCGACGCGCGTTCGACGGCGGTCCAGAGCGCGCGGCCGCCCGTCTTGGGCACGTGGACCGCGAAGAGCGGCGTCGCCTTCGGGTCCGGGCAGGGCATGGGCACGTCCGCCGCCGCCGCGCACTGCGTCGCCGCCGCGAGCGCCGCGACGCGGTCCGCGACGGTGGCGCCCGCCTCGCCGAGCGTCGCCGCGGCCGCGGCCCGCTGCTCCTCGCTCCGCTCGCGCTTCTCGTCGCGCTTCCGCCGGCGCCGCCGGCCCATGGTGTGGTGCGGCGCCTTCGGGGCCGCGTCGCCGGACTTGAGGTAGGACGCGAGGTCCGCCTGCTTCGTGTGCTTGCAGGAGAAGCCGTCCTGGCAGCGCGCGTGGAGCTGGTCCGCGACGACGGCCTTCTCCGACTTGAGCACGACGTCCGCGGCCTCGGAGAGCTTCTGCCGCGCGTGCCAGGCGCCGAAGAAGCCCAGCGCCCGCGCCTTGGACAGCGCCGCGGCGCAGGCGGCGCCGGCCGGGACCCCGGCGTCCGCGAGGTGCTTGGCGCCGTGCGACGTCACGGTCCTCGCGCGGAGCGGCGTCGCGTTCTTGACGTGGACCGTGCGGTTGTGCCAGTCGCCGCCCCGGCGCGTCTCGACGTGGCGCACGCCCAACGTCTCGTTCGCGTGGTCCAACCGCGTCGCCATGGTGAAGCCCGGCGTCACGCAGAGCTCCGACTGCACGTGGAACGTCACGGCGCCGGACCGGCACGCGCGGTCGCGCTCGGGCCGCCACTCGTGGGCCGCGGCGCTGCAGATCACGGCCGCCGGCGACGCCGGGGACGTGGCCCCCGCGGCGGCGGCGCGGAGGTGCAGCATCGCGTCCGGGTGGAGCGCGTCGTCCGCGTCGACCATCGTGTGCACCGCGAGGTCCGGTTCGCCCGGGTCGACGCCCGCGATTCGGAGCAGGTCCGCGGTGGCGAAGTCGCGGGGCTGCGTCGAGTTGGACCCCGGCGGCAGCGAGTCGAGGACGACGACGTGGGGGTAGGGCGCGACGGCGCCGAGGAGGGCCTCGCGCTCCTTCGCGGGCCACAACTCCGTCCGCGCCTGGGCAGGAAAAGGGTGCGAAATTCCCAACTTCAAAGGCTCCTATCTCGGTCGTTTTCCGCTCGTTTCGGCTGATTTTTGGACGAGCGATCATCTCTCGGAGCGCTCTCGAACCGTGGGTGCTGTTTCCGAAACGCGCGCGCGCGGAACACTCACGTTGAAGCGACGTTGAATCACCCTTTTCCTGCCCTGGTCCGCGCGAAGATGACCCAGACGAAGCGGGTCGTCGTCTGCGCCGCGATCGACGGCAGGCACACGCCGAGGAAGAGGGCGACGCGCGCCGCGAGGAGGGCCGTCAGGTGCTCCTGGCCGAGCTGGAAGCGCGTGCTCAGCACGTGGACCGCGCGCGCGGGGGGGGCGGCGAGCGTCGCGGCGCCGTCGACGCGGCGCCACTTCGCGCCGCGCGCGCCCGGGACCGCGCGCGGCGCGAAGTCCGCGAGGAAGCCGGGCCGCACGAGCTTCGCCGCGGGCAACGCGTCGCCGACCGCGACGCCGCAGGCGCCCCGCTCGCCCGCGCAGACCGGCACGTAGCGCGCGGCGCCGTCCGTCGCGGCGAGCGCCGCGCGGCGCGCGTGGGCCGCCGTCGCCGCGTAGGCCGCCGCCGTCCGGGGCCGTTTCACGAGGAGGTCGCGCAGGCGCAGGGCCGACGCGTTGGCGCCGCTCGACGCCGCGGCCGCGAGGCACGCGGCCGCGTCGTCGACGGGCGCGTCGCCGCCGCCGAACGCGCACGCGGCCGCGTCGCCCTTCGCGGCCGCCCAGGCCTCCGGCGCCACGAGGCCGTGGAGCGCGACGGCGTCCGGCGCCCGGTCGAGGATCTGCGCCGCGGCCGCGCCGAAGGGCGGGCCGAAGAGCGCCTCCGCGCCCGCGTCGAGGCAGGCGTCGACGGCGCGCCGCAGGTCCCCGACCCAGGCGTCCGCGGCGCAGTGGGCCGCGCGGCCGCGGCGGGGGCCGGCGAGGCAGAGGCCCCGCATTTGGAAGGGCCGCCCGGGCACGTCGGCCGCCCAGGACGCCTCCGCGACGAGGCCCCGGACCGCGTCGTGTGCGGCCGCGAGGAGCTCCGCGCGCGCGGGGAGCAGCGCCTCGACGTTGCACCGCTCGTGGCCGAAGAGGGCCACGAAGCCCCGGGCGCAGGCCGCGTCGTAGAGGGACTTTTCGCTGGCGTCGTCGAAGCCCAGCCCCAGCGCGCGCAGCGCCGCGCCCGGCGGCCGCGGCCGCGGCGCTTTCGCCGCGGCGCCGCACGGCTCCGGCGCGCGCGCCGCGGCGCCGCGGCGCGCGCAGGACGAGTTCGCCGGCAGGGTCCGGGGGAAGCGCGCGAAGGCCTCGATGAGCGCGTCGCGCCGCGGCCCGTCCCGCGGCGCGAC